TAGATGATCTGGCTCGACTAATTCATGAAAATGGTAGTGGTTATATGGTAGATGACAAGAAAATTCATCATCCTGTTAGTAAAGTTTTCAGTAAGAAAGCTTTTGGATTATAGTTAGGTGAAGTGACTTGTTTCATACGGAATTCCTATGATTGATTAAACTGCAAAATCGTTTGTGAAGGATAGCTTACAGACTCGTTCGAAGTAAAAACCGGTGTCAGGCAAGGTTGCTTACTCTCACCCTTTCTCTTTCTCCTGATCGACTGAATCATGAAGATGTCAACATGTGAGGGGAAGCATGGGATATAGTGGACAGCCAGGATGCAGTTGGACGATCTAGACTTCGCAGATGATCTGGCTCTTCTATCGCACACCCAACAACAGTTGCAGAAGACGACCAGTGTAGAACCAGCCTCAGCAGCAGTAGGTCTCAACATACACAAAGGGAAAAGCAGGATTCTCCGATATAACACAGCATGCACTAATTGAATCACACTTGATAGAGAAGATTTGAAAGATGTAAAAACCGTCACATATCTGGTCAGCATCATTGATGAACACTGTGGATCTGATGCAAATGTGAAGGTGCGGATCGGCGAAGCAAGAGCAGTACATTTACAAGTGAAGGATATCTGAAACTCAAAACAACTGTCAACCAACACCAAAGTCAGAATTTTCACTATGAATATCAAGACGGTTCTACAGTATGGGGCGGAAACGTGGAGAACTAGGAAAGCACCCAACTGCGTCACAGGCCAATCCCTCACATTGAATCCTCAAGGCCAAAGGAGGAGAGGAAGACCAAAGAACACATCACGCCGAGAAACGGAGATAGACATGAAAAGAATGAACAACAATTGGAAGGCCTAGGACAGAGTAGGTTGAAGAATGCTGGTCGGCTGCTTATGCTCCATTGGTAGTAACAGGCGTAAGTAAGTAAGAATTGTCTTGTTTAGTTAGTTACGTGTTAACGACTGTTTGATGCTGGAATAGGTAAGCCTTATAGTAATGTATGCATCGGAGTCTTTCGTGGTGAATTATATTTTGGATAATTCCTAAGGTTTCGTATATCGCTCGTCCTAACAAACGTTATGAACTTCAGAAGACAATACAAATCATTGACTACAGCTTATTATTGTACAGAGCTGATCACTAAGCCACAAGCATACCAAATGAAATTTTAATGCAAGCAAGCAAGCAAATAAAAAGGCTAATTAAGAGTTAAATGAATTGATAAAATTCGAGCTCATTTATAAGAAGCGAATGAGTTATCAAACGATTTAAACAATTAACATTTAAGCTAGTAAGAGAGATACGTGTGATGGCTGTAACGCGTAATCAAGCACATATGTCCATACAGACATGATAATAATAATAAAACTAAGATATACAAATTGTTGCTATTCTGATGACACTGTTAATTAAGTTCATTGAAAGATTTAACAAAATTAAACATGAACAGACAATTTTAGGTGAGATGATATATTATATAAGCTAATTTACGTTCATTTTATATTCGCATTTCTAAACTAGTTAATTGAGAAAAAAATCCAGTATTATCTGGTGACATAACAATCTAGTATATAATGAATATATGTAGTGATTTAAGTAACACAAACAAATACGATGAACTCAAACTGCCTTAATTGTAAACGACATAATAAGACTACTGTAATAAGGAAACTCGAGAATCTAAAAAATAATTTGTTAAAAAAGCTGACAAAAGTGAGGACAGTAGTACTTTCATACAACGCCAAATGAGTATTATAGAAAATATTTCAATTCAAACCCTCTGTATACTTAAATTAATTGGCATAAACATGTTCTGGATACCTAGTTATTTCACATTGTTTTTACAGATAATCATAGCAGTGGAAGACTATTATTGTTTGTTTGGTTCAAGTATGAAAACAGATTACTTAGTAAACATACCACATGCATTCAAAAATACAGCTCCATTCACACAAACTACACTTCACGACACCCCGAACTACAACTACGCATATTATATTCCACAAGCACTTAAGTAAAGTCAACAGTCAAGATATGCGTACATGCATGTGCTCAGGAATATGTACATACTGTAAACATGCTATGGGTTCTAATAACTATCAACAGAAAATATCTATCTTTAATTTCTTCTTTCTAACCCCTTGGCTCTATTGTAAGCCAATAATACACCCGACTAACTGCTGACACAGCTTTATTTCAAACAAAAATCAGTAATAACTAATGAGAATGGAACGATGGCCACTTCTGGTGTCAAACTTAGACGTGTATACACACTAAAACCAAGGTTTAATGATATGCATGTGTATCTACAAAAATGAATAAACGTTTATGTAATCGGATAACAGCATTTTTCTGATTCAGTGGAACTAGACATTGCTATGTTAGGACAAGATTTCTCATTTTAATCAGATTCATTTCAAATACAAGTGAGGGAATTGTTGTACTAGATCGTCTTGTTCGTTAACATCTCGTCTGAAAATTCGATAATATAATTCTTAATTTGATGCTCTGAAATCTAAGAAACCGAAAATGAATAGTAATTAATGATTAATGAATATTCTTCTCAATAAATTTACTTAACCCTACTTTATTATTTACCATTCATTTCATATATGCAGTATAGTCTCCCTCTAAAAATTTGATCGGATTAGTAATTGCACTAATGTTGTGAACGAAAACAGATGGGACAACTGATGAGATCTTAATACAAAATTACGGAGTACTGTCATCATATATGGAAACCATACTTTCAGTACTTCACTTGCAAATCTTCCATCAATTGTCTCAAACTTCATCGTCCTTTTATTGCTATAACAATTATTCTCCGTTTCCGTTCTCTTCGATTCGGTCATCTCAACCTTCCGCTGCCAGGTTTTCCACTTCTTATTGGTGTTACATACTACTTATATCTGTCGACATAAGCAGCATAAATAATATACCCTTACCTGAAATAAACTGTATCTCGCTCTGTGGACATATCTAATTCAGCTGTACATAATATATAAATAAATGGTTAAATTATTCACATTAACTCTGATATTGTTATCAATAGTAATTTGGTTTCGGTAGAAACTACAATAAGAATCTATGATTCTAGTAGACTAGTAGAAACTGTTAATCTAACAATACTAATGGAATAAACATTCTCTGTGGTAGTCTCAAAAAACTGTCTGAGAAAAAATTGACCTAACATCAAATATTTTCAACAAAATTGGCAGAAAGTTCCGTTTTTAAGTTTTTCAAATTATATATATATATATATATATATATATATATATATATATATATATATATATATATATATATATATATATATATATTGAGATTAGTTGGTGATTGGGGGTAGTTGACAGGAAACCCTATTGTATCAACATTAACATTATTAATTATTTCAAATTCTTTACTTATCATTTAATCTTATTGGGTTGATGTGATATGATAGTTTGATAACATAATTTTCTTCAGATTTTATAATAATTCCAACTGACTGACGAAAGCATGTTGATTTGCAAAACAAAACAAGACCCCATTATAAGACTGCAACTTGTTATATTACTCAATAAAGGCTAAAAATTGTATCTCCGCTGATTGAAACAAACAAAATTATACGTTTCTATGTTGAACAATTTGTTAGTTTTTACAGAAAAGTATTTTCTTGTTTTCTTTTTGTTTAAATTGTCTACATAAAATTGATTGACAAATATACAATGAAAAGAAAATGAAAAAATACATTGACTTATTTATTTAATTAGCAAATAAACGTTTGACTGAATTCATTTGATTAACACTGTTTTAATACATTTAAAATTACTTATAAAAATTAACAAACAATATATAACATTTAAATTCGCTTGGTATAGTTTACTAGTATCTTCCAATTGATGTTTAAAACTGTGTAATTGATCAGTTTCTTATTGGCATATGTGCATAATGTGCTCATTGCCTCAATATTGCCTTGAATCACAAGCTTTATAAGCAAAGACAGATAGTGGCTAGCAGAAGGCAAAAATACAAGCAAGCAACATCAAAAAAATTTTTACTCTACACTCTATTACAAAAGTAGATGGCTATCGGAACCTAATATCTATGTGGATAATGCAATGGTGTTTGAAGCGGATGGTACTGGGTTCAAGTCCCGGAGTAGACATTAACTCTGAGATGTAGGTACATCCAACTGACGCGTCCCAAATAAAGATGAAACGCGCGTCATGAATTCCACCGCTAACCATCATCCATCTTTGAATATATAAAATTTATTGAAAATCAAAATTAGTGTATATTAAATAATGAACGAATAATACAGTTAAATAAAAAAAAACAGTTTAGTTGATGAGAAAAAATGTTGCACAAACTATTATTGTCCATAAATTAGTGATATGCACTTGGACTTTTTTTCTAAATGGTTCTTTTGAACATCACTTACTTATGATAACCATTTATTGCATACAATATTTTTGGTGAGACTAGAATTTATAGATGAACTAATCAGATATAAGATAACGGGTGTTTGAATTCTGACGTGAAATTCATTTATCTAATTAACTAAATAAAGTTTTGGTATTTCAGCTAATATCAGTTGGTGATGAAAACCTTAAATCTAGTTCCTAACCGTAACCATCAATTGTAAATCACAATCATTATTCTTCACACTACTTTATAACCCTCGTTTAGTCTTAGTTAGTGGGTGGGCACTCTCAAGGTTACTTTAGTTTAGCACAAAGGTCATTCATGAATTATAGCTACAGCGTAATTTTATATAATGTGGTTACGTAAACGATTACAATGTAACCAGATTGTTAGTTTACTACTTTTTTTTTCAAGAGAAAAACAGTTATTTTATGCTGTACATTGGTCTTCATACATAATAACTTAGCAAACCATTGAAGTAAATTGGATTTCACATTGATTGTATAATATTTTATGAAAATAAATATATTTAAAACACTATAAATAATTTTTCATGAGCATTCCTTAAAATTTGGTTAGAAATTAGGTACCATTTGCCTTCTATTATTTTGTTTCTTTTACTACAATGGAGAAGCTCAGGTTAGTTTATCAGATGAAAAGTCGAGATTATCTAACTGTAGTTTTAACTGATAATAATTCAGTATTTAACATTATATAGAAGTAATGGTATGAAATGTTAGTTCATGGGTCATCCGTCCAGCTATCCGGGTGACACGACGCGGAAGCTAGTCAGGTTTTGCCTACTTTCGCTTTATTGTGGGACTTCTCAGCATTGCGCATCCACGACCCTGCCTAGCGGGTTTCGAACCCGGGCATTAACATCTTTGGATACCTGATCAGTGGTCTAGTGGATAAGTGTTTGCGTGCGAGAATGTTAGATTTTGGGTTTAAATCCCATTTGGTGGGATCGTGAATGAACACTGTTGAGAAGTCCTATACTAGGAATAAAACGGCCATCTAGTGCTTCGCAGGTTAGTCACCTAAAATTAAAATCTATTTTTTGGATACACTCTAACATATTGTTTTTTGGATCATGGCTAGTATTGCCCAAGAAATGACCTCACCATTCTGATGGGAGATCTAAATTCCAAAGTCGGAATAGACAACACCGGATATGAACATATCACGGGACGTAATGGACTGGGAGAGAGAAACGAAAATGGAGAAAGATGTGCAAACCTGTGTGCATTCAACAAATTGGTCATAGGAGGCACAATATTTCCACACAAACGTATACACAAGGCTACATGGATCTCACCGGACCACACTACAGAGAACAAGATAGATCATATTTGCATCAACAAAAAATTCCGAAGGACAATGGAAGATGTGAGAACCAGGAGAGGAGCTGACATAGCTTCAGATCACCACCTACTTGTGGCCAATTTAAAACTGAAGCTAAAGAAAACTGAACAAATGGACAAACAGCATTACAAAGGTTCAATACAGCCTTTTCATCGAGATACTTACAAACTCAATGAATTCAAGATAGCTCTTAACAACAGCCTTAAAGAATCTACTCAAGGAAGGAGAAACTACTATGGAGGACAACCGGAATTGTATCAAAGAAGCATTAACTTCAACGTGTCAAGAGGTTCCGGGCCTGAAGAAGCACCATCAAAAGGAATGGATCTCTATAGGAACACTGTACACGATCAAAGAAAGGAAGAACAAGAAGACATCGATTAGCAACAGTCGAACACGAACAGAGAAAGTCCAAGCACAAGCTGAATACATAGAAGCAAACAAACAAGTGAAGAAAATCATTAGAGCCGACAAGAAGAAATACGTGGAAGAACCAGCAACGACGGCGGAAAAAGCTGAAAGGGAAGGAAATATGAAACAACTTTACGATACAACGAAGAAACTAGAAGGGAAATACAGTAAACCAGAGAGACCGGTCAAAGACAAAGAAGGCAGGCCAATCACTGAAATTCAACAACAGCGGAACAGATGGGTAGAGTACTTTGAAGAACTCCTGAATAAGCCGGCTCTAATGAATCCACCGGACATCGAAGCTGCACACACATATCTTCCTATAAATGTCAATCCACCAACGACGGAAGAAATCAGCATGGCCATCAGACAAATCAAGAGGGGAAAGCAGCAGGACCCGACAATATACCAGCAGAAGCACTGAAGTCAGACATCGAAGTAACCACTAACATGCTTCACTTTATGCCCCCAAATGCCCCAGTACGGCCGAGAGTGGGGAGAGTCTGCTATCCCTCTCGAAATACTCTCACACGGCCACGCGTATACATCCTCTGCCAGGGAAGTCCTACTCATTGCCTTCTCGTGGCGGGGGTGTTGTTTACGAAAATGAGAGGACGAAAATCGAATATCCGGCGATTTAACCGGATCCCAAACCAATAGTGCACATGGGTTCCAGTATCCTGCGAGAACAAATGGCGTATGAACCAATTGTTGGTCAACGGCTACCATGGGACTGCATCTCCTTACGATGCCCCACTACCTTGTGGGTTAGACCTTTAGGTCAAAGGCTCGGGGTGTGACCCCTAAGATAATCACTTACTTCGGTCTGGGCACCCGAGCAGTATCACAGCACACACACAAATATGATGAACTGCCTATAATTATGGAACCTGCTTTACTTGCTTCAACTAACAATCAAATTATTATTATTACTATTATTATTATTTACCACATTATTCACCCTCTTTTATACTTATACAGCGGCTCGTGTTTGGTCGAAATTCGGCTGTATCTAAACGATCTCGAGTCACTGCCTGATTGAAAATTGTATGTTACCACTGAATATGAGTACTGAAGCAGTTTTTCTGAAACCACATGCACCATTCAAACTGGCTTCCTTTAACGTTCGTACACTTATGCAGGTTGGACAACAGATAGGGCTGGCTATGTCTTTGTAAAGCCTTAATATCGATGTCTGCTGTCTATCCGAGACCCGTATTCAAGACTCTAATGAAATACTACAAATTTTCACCCCATCTGTCGCTTCGGAAAGCTTGTTTTACGTGCGTTTATCCGGGGACCCTGTGGCATCTTCGTCTGGTCTTGCTGGCGTGTCGCACTAAGCGTTAGAGCTGAGGCAGCACTAATCAATTGGATCCCCATTAACAGTCGGTTATGTGCTGTTTGATTAGAAAGTTACATCAAAGTAAGAAGAAATCGGCGTGAGAAACGATGTCTTTTCGTCATCTCCGCCAATGCCCTGGCAGATTGCAGCCCGGATGCAATCAAGGATGAGTTTTACCACCAGTTATCTGTTCTTCTCCAGAAAGTGCGTTCGACAGATATTGTAGTACTAGCCGGAGACTTGAATGCTCAGGTCGGGCGTCTAGGCACAGAAGAGAGTCGTTTAGGTGGCCGATGGGGACTCGTTGGTCGCAGGTCAGATAACGGGGACCGTCTACTGCAACTTTGCACAGACCACAACCTGTTTCTGGCTAGCACTAACTTTCGGCACAATCATCGCCGATGTTCCACCTGGCGTTCTCCCTCTGCATCTCATGCCTGGACTCAGATTGATCACATCACGATCAGCTACCGCTGGCGTGGTTGTGTACAAGACTGCCGCTCCTTTTGGAGTACCTCTTTGGACTCTGACCATGCCTTGGTCTGCGCCAATCTTACCTTACTTTTCAGTGGACAACAAAGTGACCGCCACCAACGGATTGATGTTAGCAAGCCGGTTGCAATTTCTGTTGCTAGTAAGTATCGAACCGAGCTAGCCTCTAGGCTAGCTACCACTCCACCGAAAAGTATAGATGAGCATTGGTTGCAATTGCATGAGGCCATGAAAATGGCGGTACAGTCAGTTGCGGGTTCGCGAAACGTCCCGCTTATAAGCACTGGGTTTCTTCTGGTTCCTTACAACTCATTGAAGCCCGTCAGTCAACTCCGGGTGACCGTGAGTTTGACCACAAACGAAGGATGTTACGTAATGAAATCGGGCAAAGCTTGCGTAAGGACCGAGAAGCCTGGTGGTCGAAGCGTGCCAATGAGCCGGAAGCAGCAGCTGCATCTGGTAACTACCGGAAGCTCTTCCAACTCATCCGAACCACTAGCAGCAAGAAGTCTGGTGCGAGCGAGACAATCTGCGAGGATGATGGGATGCCAACCACCAACATCCATCGACGTCTTGAACGATGGGCAGAATTTTTCGAAGGGCAGTTCAACTGGCCTGCTGCTCCGGCAACATCGGTCAGGCTGTCCTGCCCTCCATGTCCGGTGACGACTAATCTACCAAATGAGGCGGAAGTCCGCAAGGAACTCCAACTCTTGAAGTGTTACAAATCACCTGGCTTAGATGACTTACCTCAGGCTCTTTTTAGAGATGGTGGTGACTTTCTGACTAAGGAACTGACGACGTTGTTTACAAAGGTTTGGGAGCTAGAGAGTGTACCAACGTCATGGAATGAGTCGATAGTTGTCCCTATCTTTAAAAAGGGTTCACGTCGTTCCTGTAACAACTATCACGGGATAAGTCTACTTCCGATTGCGTCCAAGCTATTGGCTTCCGTCATACTTCGTAGGTTGTTCAAAACCCGAGAAAGATTGACTCGCGAGGAGCAGGCTGGGTTTCGTTCTGGTCGAGGATGTATTGATCATATCTTCACCCTCCGCCAAATGTTAGAACACCGCCATACTTATCAAAGGCCAACAATCGTAATGTTTCTTGATGTCAGGGCTGCCTTCGATTCGTTGGACAGGACTGTTCTCTGGGATCGTCTATTGAAGAAGGGTGTGTCTGAGAAGTTTATTAACATCCTGAAAGCCCTATATACACACACCTCAGGCAGAGTGAGGGCATACAACCACCTTTCTCCATTGTTCCATACGAGCAGTGGGGTTAGGCAGGATTGCTCAGTCTCACCATTCCTCTTCAACTTTGCCATCGATGACATTCTGGAAACAGCTCTGATGGATGTAAGTAATGGTCGTGTGGATCTGTTGCCTAGAGTAAAACTTCTCGACCTTGAGTATGCGGATGATATTTTCTTACTGTGAGATAATGCCCAAGACATGCAATACGCACTCAATCAGTTGGCAATCAATGTCCGTAGGTATGGTATATGCTTTGCACCCTCGAAGTGCAAAGTATCTCTACAAGACTGGCAGGATTCTAATCCTGTACTCACTCTGGATGGTGAGCAGATAGAAGTAGTAGAGAAGATCGTGTATCTGGGTAGCTGCATAAGTGCTGGTGGGGGTGTGAGTGATGAGATCAATGCACGTATAGTGAAAACCAGAGCGGCCCATCTTTGGCGCCTTCATGATGTCAGTCTGTCTGTAAAAGGTCGGATCTACAACGCGTCGGTGAGAGCAGTTTTGCTCCATGTTTGTTAAACCTGGCCTCTTTGAGTCGAGGATGTTAGACGACTCTCTGTGTTTGATCATCGCTGTCTCCGGAGGATTGCTGACATTCAGTGGCAACACCATGTCAGTAATGCAAAGGCTCGGCATCGTGTGTTCGGGCACAGAGATGATAATTTAATTGGTGCTTTCATCCTGAAACACCGACTTCGGTTGCTTGGACATGTTCTACGAATGTCGTCCCAGAGAATTTCACGTCGTGCATTATTTGCCGACTC